TTAATCTGCAAGCGACTGTGTTTAATTGGTTAATTCTTGTATATTTTTCTCCTTTATTCTTCCGTTGTTACAGTGCACACATTACTGTACTGTACACTCGCGCACACACACACAGAGCCTCACAATTTTGCTCGTTTATTCAGTGGGTGGGTACTTGGCCATAACAATAATATTATGATCCTACGTGAGACACTAAGTGTAGTAATGAACCATTATTATGCACAGACTTATTATTCTGTAACTGCCTTAAAACGCCGAACTCCACCATAGATTAATAAATCATCCATTTTATTGTAATTTGAGTGCAAAGACATGAATCGGTTGATGAAATTGAAGGGTTTTCAGACTTTCAATCACTCGCTTTTCATTTTCAAGACGACAAGAGTAATTTGTAAGAGCGTCATTATGTGGTCTTCCACAAAATTATGATGCTGGATGCACTTTGACAAGGAAATAATTGTATCCTTACACAAGTGCTCTGACATTCAGTAGTGTGAGGAAAGTGTTGCACTGTATAATTAGGCGTTATTGATTGCATCTAACTTCCCCTTCTCAACTTATATTTCTCTCAGTGTTTTCCTCATGGCTTGTGACCTTGTCCCAATTGCACAAGTGGCAAAAGGAATGACTTTGGTGCACTTTTGCCAACGATTGAAATATACAAGGAAGGAGCAAAAGGCCAGCTATCACCAGGGGGAGAAGTTTATGTTCCCTCTGATGCATGAATCCAAACCCTCCTCTTTTACTGCTCCTCAGCTCCCTCATTCCCTCCCATTGTGTGTTCGCTGTAGTAGCATCTGGTTAATGGGCCTCTTCAGTCGATAGTCTCTTCCATCTTCTTACACACACATACAGATTCTGTGTATAAAGGCAAACACACATACGCATTCACATTTTTTTTTTAAAGCCTGTAAATAGATACATTTTTGTCCTTTTAAGTCTGCTGCTTTATAAGATGTGGGAGAATAATTTCTGAGGAACATTTAGCCATTATGTGTATGTCAGTGCATATGGACACTTTATTGAACACGTGTTTCATACAGTCAAGTGTGCGCTGTTGTTTGCAACGAAGAGATTATTCTGAACAATGAAACAGTTCATATTTCTTATTAGAGGGGTCATGCAAGCATTCTCTCTCTAAAAAATTAAATAAATAAAGCAAGTCTCTTGAATTAAAAGTTTTCTTTTGTTTATTTAGTCCAACATTGTTCTTTTTTCAGTGAAAGCTAATAGATGCCACAAGTAATTTCTGGTCTCGGAATAGCAGATTCCTGGGAAGGAGGCTGTATAAAAGAAACATATAGATGCTGGCATATAGTTTTTAGAAAGTGAAGCTTTTCGTTTCTTCTCCCCTGTACACAATTTTATGTAAATTCAGAATCCTGAACTTTTGGACATACACTCTAAGCTTGCATGGGGTAATTCACATGGGTAATCCTACTAAATGAAAGACAAAGCCAACGGGCTGTTTTTCTCCGAGCTTGAAGAATTAGCTAACGAGGAATGCTCGGAGCTGGACACAACATTAGACTTTCCAGTTTAACCCCTCCCATCTAACAAATAAGCAGTGATCTAAGGAATGGAGCGCCATTATTAAAACCAGCTGGAGACTTGACACAGGCTACAGGCACGCTAACATCATGCTATTCATGTTACACGTTCACATGATCCTGTACAAGTCTGTGCAAGGTTTGACTTTTGTAACTGAAACCGAAGGAATGCCTTTCTGCGTAACGCTGTTCTATAAAATGCTGACAGTTTGTTGTGACAGTATGATTAGCTTTGGTGGACATCTGGGCTAAGTATGTTCAGTGGATTTGTGTGTGTGTGTGTGTGTGTGTGTGTGTGTGTGTTGTGTGTGTGTGTGTGTGTGTGTGTGTGTGTGTGTGTGTGTGTGTGTGTGTGTGGAATTGACCACTACAAACACAGCAAACTTAAACATACGGGTGAAAAGAGGAAACTTTTTCATTAGAAATTAGTTAAAGACTGCCCGACTGCATTAGGCTTTGTGGTTGTGCTGATACTGGCAAACACTCAAATGTTTAAAATGTTCAGTGGTTATGAGAAAAGCTCAGATGACACAGATTTGATGTTTACAAAATGACAAACAAAACTCACCCTGCATTGTTCCCCCTCCCCCCATTTCACCTGCTAGATGATGGATAACCCATATGCTATGTCAATTTTAGCTTCTGTATTTAGACATCTTTGCTTTTAGCTTTCTTTCAAGATATTTATTGGTTATTCGTCATGTCTGGAATGTAATCTTCCAGTGAAAGACATAGGAAATGTGTTTTGTAGATAAAATTTCAGTTACAATAAAGCTTGGCTTGGGCTGTGATTGAAACAATACTGCTCCTAAGCTGCACTGAGCCCACCTGTTTGTTCTTCTGTAATTGGATTCTGCTTCATTCCATTTGCCTTAATGCTGATGCATAATGCAGTGTACTGAGGGAACCGGCCATTACCAGCTAGGGGACAGGGCACGGTGGAGGTAACCCGACCTCCCTCTCACCAATCCCATCTTGGGACATCTAGGGCCTCTGTCCTTCAAAGCAGCCACTTGCTTAGGCTGGATGGATTGATAGTTGGATTGTGGGCCTGAAGGGAGCCAGAATAGCAGGTGTTGATGTTACAGCCTACAAGAACAATAAGCTGGCCCTCAGCAGCTTGTTAATCTAAAATAAGCAGGCACTGGTGTGGACAGTTTGTGCCCAGGTGGCAGAATCCTCATCAAATAGCGAGCATTACGAGCTGCTACTGAAAAGAGAATGCAAAGCCAAAGCTCAGTCTTTACGATGTAGACAAAAATGTACATTTACATGCAGTGCACCCATGATCGGTGCACTCATTTAATCAACTCTTGAAATAATCTAGATGGTCATATTCTATATTCATAATATTAGTCAAGATAACATAAAAATGAATTACTCATGCATTATTTCTATTGCGTAAGAGGCAGATATCATGTTCTAGCCAAGTCGATGAACATCCCAACAGCATGACAGAGATGCCCACATGCGCTTTGCTGTTTTCATCAGGGCCATACTTCTCTCATGATCAGCTGCCTTTGTTAAGTGGCTAGTGTCGATGGCTGTGACTGAACTCTGCCCACAACAGTGATGAAGATAAAACATCTGGAGATGGTGTGCGGCTGTTTGGGCGCATATGTGCGCACACTGAGAATGAGAGGATAAAGAAGTGCAGCAATAAGAAGAGTGACATAAATTGCGTGGGCGCTGGTGTGTGTATGTGACTGAGTGGGTGAGCGACGTCGGCCAAGGTTCATTAGCGTTCATCGGCTGCCTCCACACCGAAATAATAAGGTCCTCTCTTTCTCTTTCTCTCTCTTCCCTTCTGCATCTGCTGAATATGAACTGAGCTGTGAAAAATAGTGTCTGATCTCAGGTCACCTCTCCTGTACAGTGATATATGACGGAGATGCGGGTAACAGTTGATGAAGTGACAACATTAAATTGGTAACGCTGAGGTTAAAAATCAAAAGGGAGCGAGAAATCCTGATGAGCTGCACAGAAGGCGGATGAGTATGCGGCGTGTTTTTGATAAGAAAACTGTCGTCGGGATTTTAGGGTGACTCAGGAGACGAGAGCGTGCAAATGCAAGAAAAGAACGGGTCAGATGAGATGGAAAGTCATTAGAAATAATTCTCTTAATGAAAACATTTCCCGGCTTCAGGGACGGCTCACGGCTTTTTTTTCCACCACCTTCAGAAAAAATGGATGCTAGCGCATTCATTGGAGCAATGTGTACAGAGACTGTTTTTTTTTTTTCAATGAAAAATATTCTTCAGATACGGCGGTTTATAGAATAATAAAAAAAAGTTATTTAAGAGGATATGCAGAAGAGGCAGTGAAAGTGCTGGAAAGGGGGAAAAGGAGGAAAGCGATTTTGAAATTGAATCCTGACTTCACTGCATCAGACTGATCCACAGAAAACATAAAATAATGCGAAAAGACACCTTAGTGGACAATATGGTCTCACTGGAGCTGAAGGGGATAATAGAAAGAAGAACTAGTAAATAGCATGAATGTATCGCAATAGTGGCAAAAGCCGACTCTTCTTTTTTCTGCTCTGACCCCAGACAATAAAATTTATTGCTAAACTACTACATGTTATCTTACCATGATGGATGCAGGCAGAACTCACCCACTAGACTTCAGCTGACATGTGTTTGACCCCTATCCTCGTCTACAGGAGACAGCACCTGGTGCCTCAACACAACGCCATTAGTGGTCAACCACACACACACACACACGTTTGCACACGCTCCCTTTGAGATATTTTTAGGGGATGTGATACAACCACCATGGTAGCTAATGCTGAGAGATTCACACCCCGTGGACTTGACAGGAAGGGATCCATTTCCTGACAGGAACCGCAAACCATCCACACATGTAGCACATACTGTACATCCTCGCTGTGTGAACTTTGCGCTCCTGAAAGAAGATTGATGTGTTTCTATAGGAATACATAGAAATGTGTACATTTAAAGTATCTGCATGAGAGTCTTTAACCAGGTTAAATGATGAGAATTATGTTGATCCCACATTGAGCTAGTGCCAGTTTTTGAATCTCAAAATGGTACAATTAAACTGCGAGCAAAGCACTCCACTTTCCCTAGAGTGATTTCTTCAGCACATCTGTAAATACTTTCCAGCTGTAATCCCACAAGAACCGCAGCTAATGCCATAAAATCCACTTACGAGTCAAAACGAACTATTAAGGTTTGTGTTTTTCTTAATAAATTACCTCACTTCTAGTTGTTGTCTACGGGAAAATAAATATATTCATAACACAATCATTACATTATTATAAGACATGCATGGGGTTAGGTTAATTGGTGATTCTAAATTGGCTGCGGGTGTGAGTGTGAATAGATAAAATACACAGTTGCATTGTTTGTTCATTGTTTACTGTATATATCTGATGCTATATAGTATTGAAAGCACCATCTTTTTACCTGTGTCTATTTTCTCCAGCCTCCACTGTTGCTGAAAATGGGAAAAAAACCTGCTTGAAGCTCAAAGTTTTCGTCCGACCAGCAAGTAAGTGCAACACAGGGCTTTGTAACCGAGCTTCTTGAAGTAGCCGGTTGGAGTGAAAATCAAAGCACTTTATGTCCACTTGTCTGGTTACCTCACTACCTTGAGCTCACTGTTGAACATAGCTCTTTCACTTATCACAGCACTGGTTGATTTGCCAAAAAATAAATAAATTTGAAAACATGAAAATGATGATAGACATTCACGTCAAATAAAATAATCTGAATATCTGAATGTTGCCATGAGCTTTGTTGCTTGAGATGTTTATTTTGAGGGCTTGGGGGTGTTGGGGGCTACAAATGTCACTAACCTATTTGGCACATACCTCTAATGATTTCTCATTCTCCCTATTTTCTGTTATAGACAGCTGTGTGAAAACTATAGGTGTACATGACCGCGTTTTTGATGTAAACGACAAAGTAGACAATACATTAGAACCACGAGGTTAGTATGGCTTCCTGCTTTTTTGATTCACTTCTGTATGAGTTCCAGCTATCTGTATATGTGTACCTTTTTCTGTGCCTCTTTCTTTTATGATGCTGATCTGCCCTTGCCTATCTGTCTGTATAATGCTTCTTTTAAGCTGCTTTTTCTCCAGAATATCAAAGTGGTGTCACGTTACTGCTGCTGCATACATGATGTAAAATGCTGCTCATGTAATATTCCCAGCTGCATGTTGTGGTCAATGCCACAACATGCAATCTTTATGCTTACTAAAATTCTTCTGCCTGTATTTTAACTAAGAACGTCAGTTTTAAAAACCATTAAATAATATGAATGCAGTAGGCACAGCCACACAGTAGCTATACATTTGGCAAATTTTAATCTTTTTCTTTACTCTTGACTGACTTGCTGTTGGCTCTGTAGCACAGCATTGATTATTTTCTGTGCTCAGAACGCACAGCAGTTTTATGTCTTCATATATCAGCCTAACCCAGTCTCTGAACTGAAACACTCCACATCACCCACATGCTGTTGTCTCATTCCCAGCACCAGCTCACCGCAAGGTCTGAAATAACAAAAAGACTACCCCACTGTCTATATTTTTTATTTATATATAGATATATACAGTGATATGATCATTGATCACAAAAAAAGGATTCTGTCATTTGAAAATGAGATCTGCTGCATTCTGAAATGTCTTCACCGTGAAGATAAGATATTATGATACCTAAATGGGACACAAATACACAAGTCCAGGCAGAGCAATACTACATCCTAGGGCATGTTTGATACCCATCTGCTTCTCCCCCCTTTGCCCGTCTTAAAACCCTGCCTGCATCCTCAATGGCTGGCTCTCATCTTGCAAGCTTCTTTTGGCTCATTTCCCTGTTATGCCTTCCAAAGGAGAAACATGAAAACATTAATTCGTCATCTGTTGTCGCCCTGTCTCTGCCCAATTTCTACCGCACACACACAGACACACAAACACAACTTTGTATAGTTATGTAACTGTCCAGTCCTCTGTTCTGTCTATCTGTCCTTTGCTGTGCATGGTTCAGCTCCTTTCCCATGGTGCGGTGGGCACATGGCTGCTCACAGATACTGATGCCACTGCCAGAAAAACACAGGGGGCAGCTCACCTGGGAGATGAATTCAAAAATGTTTCTGACATTGAGAGTAGAAACATTATATAGCAACTGAAGTTCATATGGCAACTCAGACTTTATGGCACAAACCCAAACATCTATGCTTTTCACTAACTGGTGAAAAGTATTATTGGTAAATAAGAAATATTCTCACACTACAAATGTGAATGCACTGCCCAGGACACACACAAAAAAGTCACAGACTCTTGATATTTTCTTGGACCACCTGATGATTGTGACTTTTTTCTGGCCTGGGAGTGTATTTGAGAATATGTTCACTGAATAAGCTTTTGTGTGTATGATGCACTGTTAAGAGAAATCTGCATGTACCATAGAATTCACTTCTATTTCTTCTTCTTCTTCCTTTCTTTAAATCCTTTAGACGATACCAGCCATGAACCGGCTGAGCCTTCACGAAGTGAAACAAATGATGTGCCACGCCTCCAGAAAACAAGTCCGCTTCTGGCTTCGATGCTGATCTGCTTAGCAGCACTCTCCACTTTATAGCGCCTCCCTCTGTCCCGGAGGTCATTTACACCTAGCGTGGCCTGAACCTGCCCAAGGCTGCAGGGTAGGGGGTGGGATTTGGGTGGATTGCATTTGCTTGTTTGGGCATAAAAGCAGGCTTCTCAAGGAACCCTCTATTTTTTTCAGAAAAAAAAATATTTAAGTGGTCTTTCTCCGTCTGTGAGTGAAAAAAAAAAAAGTTGATGTTAGAAGCGGGAGAAACAGTTCCCCCCCTTAAACCTTCAACTAAGATGCCAAATCCTGTTTGACACATAGTGATTCTTACTTTCCCGTGACTTTTGACATCCCTTTACATTATGTTTCTGTCATGGCAACGCTGTTTAGACATACACATATACACACACTTTACATAACACACGACATTACAGTGCCGCAGAGTCAAATACAAAAAATATTGACATCAGCATTGAGCAGGAGTAGAGTTGTTATACAGTAGCCAGTTTTACATAGTAGGACAGTGAAGATGCTAGGTCTTAGAAATGACTGTACATACGCAAACAAATAATCCTGAGACCTCTCAAGGAGCCTTTCAGAATATATTTTGATTGTTCTGTTGGGTCATTAAAAGAAAAAAAAAAGATTTTTGCATCTCCGTTCGTCTAGAGTTTTTTTCAATTAAGTAAGAAAAGCTAAGAGTTAAAGACGTAAGAAAAGAAGTGTGAAGTTTCAAGCAGAAGCAAGACGATAAACCTGAGCACTGAAAATTAAATGCCCGGTATGCACCTTAGCCCAACAGGTCTTCAGACTATGTTGGTTCAAAGACGGTCTGAAGATTATTTGTCATTCAATCTCAGATTTCCCTTGAAAATAGAGTGTTTGTATATTTTGGATAAGCTACTTAAAAGGTTTAGCGAATCTTTGAGTTAATAAAGGTAAAAACCATGAAAGTCTGCTCAACAAAGCATTGCTCTGGCTAACAAAGCAACTAAATTGAAACTTTCTCACCAGACATTTTTTTTTGTTTCGGCGGATATCAGGATCAAAAATCAATACCTTCTCAAAGTTGATCGTGCAATTTCACAGCAGCGGTCACAGTCATTTTATACAATGTTTACTGAGCTAGGCAGCAATTTGTTCTCTCTATTCAGTTTGAGAATTAGTCAATATTAACACTCCCATAAACATTTGCATCCACAGCCCCCCCACCCCTCTATTGACTGTTAAAAGAATTGTTTGAAAATGATTTGCAGCTTTATTTTTTACATCTCTATAATAATACAGGTTCTAAAACTGTAGGACTTTTGTACTGTGTGACATCAAGCTAAATAAGAAATATGAAAGAAATCGTGGGAAACTGTTTGAAAAGACATTTCCATTATTAGTGCCATATTTTTCCTTGGATCCCTGTCCCATAAGTGTAACCACAGCCTTGACTCATACAGTAGATTTACGTAAAAGTGAGATTTTTTTTAGAGCCAGCTCGTTGCATTAGCTAATGCATAGCTTGTGTTTGCCGTGTGAATAACAACAACAAAATCCATTAAATTCTAGGCAACGCACTGCTTTATTTAGTCTGGCCAGGTTTGTGTTAGCACTTAAATTTAAAGGAATTCGCTGTGACATAATGATATTCAGCTTCCTTCAACTCCCGCTGATGCACATGGTGAGTTAGCATAAAAAGCTTTTATGTTTTTTTTTTTCCTTTTTCTTTTCAGATTGACTTATTTCTTAGTTTTAAAAGAAGTCTGAACACACAGAAAACGTGCGGCAACTGACTGAAACAACTGACTGAAACAGGGCGCCAATTGGTCTTGAAATATGGATTCAGAAATGTAGAAAAATAGCAAGAAAAGGAGCAAAGGAGCAATTGCATGTCCACCTTCAGCTTCTTGTGTTACTGGCTTAAGTGACTCTTTAATGAGGTTCAAAATGACAGGCATGTGGACCCCATGTTGTGGCAAGGGGAGTTATTTCTGGTATTAAAAATAGATGCTGGAAGGCCTGGGGGGTCTCGGGGGGAGGTAGATTTCCGCCGTGGGGGGTTTTAAAGCACCAATGACCTTGCAGTTTGAGAGAATTGGTGAGTGAAGGAGACAGAAAGAATTAAAGTGAGAGAAACACACACACACACAGATGGAAAGACATGAGAAGTAGCTGAAGGTAGTGTGACTAGAGTGCCTAAAAAGTAAAAAATAAAAATCCAAACAAAGTGACAAAAAATAAAAGAATCCATTCAACACTACTGGAACAAACACCTTCTCTGACAAACGTACGTTCAGTAACATTCAGTCTCAAAGGCACATGGTAATGGTTTTGCTTTGTGGCTGCCTTTTTCTGTCTTTATTACTAGAAAGACTGCCTTTGCCTTTTGCCATTAGTTTTTTGGGGGGGTTTTGGTAACAATGCTATTACAGTGGAATAGCAGCTCGGCTGTGAGGGGTGACAGGAGACATGCCATTTAATGAGGTACTAATTTTCAGGATAACACCACAGGGAATGAGCACTGCATATGATTCGAAATGGATGCTTGCGAGCAGATTAACAATAGACTTTTATCGGAAACCAGCTTCAATTGTACTCTTATTAATTACTTAATTACCAATGGTATTTGTCATTATTGCTATCATTGTCATGATTTATTCTGTACACACCTTAACCTGGGAAATGAGGATCAACTTATATACTGGATACTGTGTATCCTGAGGTAGTCAACCATAAAACATGTAGTGTTAGGTTAGTATCCGTTTTGTACCTTTCTGGAGGACAAAAGAAAAAAATGAGATACATCATTGTTAAATCTGTATAATTATTATTGTTATGATGATGATGATTATGACTATTATTATTAGGAAAACTTCTTGATGTAAATAGTGTTTGATATTAAAGTATTAATTTGGTTCTTATGTCTTTTCTAAAAAACAAACAAACAAACAAATACCATATTATCTCGGGGTTTTGCGGAGTGTGTACTGTCTTCAAACGATGCATTGTGTGTTTTGATACTCAATGCCTAATGAAACTTTGAGCTAATACACAGTGGAAACCTGTGGGCGCTGAACACGTATCGGTGAACAGCAGGCTGGACTTTAGCCAACAGGAGGCTCATCTCTTACATGTTTCAAACCAGTCACCAACCACCACGTCTTCATGTCAGGATCCTGCCTTGATAAGAAACATTTGGGACTTAATGGGTGGCCTATTTGTACTTTTTTTTGCCTTCAGTGTTTGAAAGCATGTTGGTCAGCTCAAAAATCAGCCATAACTGGACTGTTGGCTTTTTAAAAAGAAGGATCTCACCAGTTTCATTATGTGGCATGCGCATGAACTTGATGACATGTTTAAAAAAAAAATCATTTGGAAAAAAAAAAAGTTTTCTTCTGCTGTTATTTTCTTTTCCTTTATGATGTATTAGATTTTCATGTTCATGTTGTGCGATTTCTTTTTTGGTTTTTTTGCATCCCCATTTGAGTGCTGTCATTAAACTGTGTAGTTACGCAAATGTACATAACAAATATCATTTTTGTGAGGTTACAGTGGGGTCAGTCATTTTGTAGTTCAAAAGCAACTTTAAGTTTTTTTTAATAAGAATGACTCTCTGTATCCATCTACTGAAGTCATCCCATGTAGCTGCACTCTGTCTTCTCTGACTAGTCATTCACTTTCTGCTCTCCCAAGAGGAGGTGTTTGGGAGTGTATACATCGTGTGGATGTTTTTCAGTAAAAAAAAAAAAGAAAAGAAAAAAGAAAAGGAAAAAAAAATGTGTGTGACCTGTAAGTTTGGTGTGTGCATGTCTCATTTGCTGTTGCTGCAGTGAATGGGAAGCGGCAACCCTCTTTGGCAGCAAAGAGTGTTTCCCATGCCTTAGCCCTTCAGCCTCTGCCCTGGCAGCCCGGTCTGTGTACAAGACGCTTTCTGCCATTGTGCTTTTACACGGAACAGCTGCTGGCGTCGAAGAGACTACGACGGGGCCCTTCACTTTCTCTCCCTTTTTAACAACCCTAAATCACTTGTCACTACGGTAGACATTGGTCCCGGGCACAGTTCAAGGATTAGCGCACCCCCTTCTACCAATCCAAAACCGGATTGTTAGCGGGGTAAAGCCCATCATCGATCCAGGTTCCGTGGGTTCTCAGCTCGCCTCTTGCTGATGAGCCACTTCTTCATTTTATGTCTCATTCTTCTTGTACTTGTATAACCCCACCCCCCACCGCACCGCACCACCTGCTATCTTTCTTCCTTCACCTCTGAACTCAGCTCCCACTTTGCCATCAGTGGGGAAAGTTTCCAACCTGCTCTTTTACATTATATAAACAAAAATTAAAAATGGACAAAAAATGATCTGTATTTGTATATACACATGTCTGAGCTACTATGAGTACTACAATAAAACACAAATCCATTGCTTTGCTGACTGTGCTACTGTTTTTCTTTTTTTTTTTGTAACTCATTTTACAAAGGTGTGGAAACTTAATTTAAACGTACGTGACCATGGTGTATTAAGAAGTACTGTATTAGGGTTGTTTATTGCAGTAAACATTCCTACTGTAACTAATAGAGAAAATGAACATACTCCTCTGACACTCGGGCAAAATCATGTCTCATTATGTGCCAAATTGAATGTCATCAGCGTGCGCACACACACTTCTCTTTAGGTTTCTCCCTATCTGTGCCCCTGCCTAACTGTCTGTGCAGTAAAATCACACTCTGTAAAGACAGGCAAAGAGGAACACCATCCATCAGGATCAGAATAAGACCTTAAACCTCCTTTCACTGCAGTCGGGCACTAATGAGGACACCTAATAACCTTCTGCTGGACCCCATCAGCGCTATTTAGCTTCACCTTCCATTATCTCTGTTAATTAGACTGAGAGTCGGCAAGCCCTGAGGACCAAACGAGGGGAAAGGCCCTCTCATATGCCAGTTGGATTTCAGCAATGTTATGAAGTTCGATGAAATCTGACTTTATAGACTATAAATATAGGTTAAACATCAGCAGAGAACTAGATAAAAAAAAAAAATAATAGGATGAAAAGTTGTGCTGCCAGTTTGTTGTCAGTATTTAAAAGCACCTTTAGCATAAAATGCATTGCTACAAAAGATCGGATGCAGTTCTGTGGAAGATAATCTTCTCACAAATTTGGTACTTTTTTTTTTTTTAAAGCATCAGTAGAAAAAAAATATGTTATGCATGAACACACTTGACATGATGAGCCAATTAGTGTCAAGTTGTTCTTCCTGCTGTTATTACCAAAGAAGGCTCTAGAGATGCAGGTGTGTGTCTCTAGGAAGACCAATAAAGGCAAATCACTGAGCCTGATCATTAAATTTGGGAAAATGATTGCTTTATGTGAAGATGCATCCCACATGTACTATTAAGCTGTGAACATACTCAACATCTGTGACCAGCAGTGAATGAGTGGCGAGCAGTGGGAAGAGACGGTCTTCAATAGAAACCATGCCACCCTTGAGATAGCCACATGAATGCAAGAAGGCACACCGATCTACCTGCACCTTTGATCTCATTTTTCTTTTCACCAGTGTAGCTTTCTGATACAAGTTTTAGCTTAACACAATAACAGCTCGAGTGACAGTCTTGAAGAGGCCACTTCAATGAAAGGCTTTTGAAGGCATCATTCTCAAGTCAGCTGGCTCACTTATTGGCTGCATGGTGTTTCGTTTCCATGTGAACAATCCGTTTGACTGACAGCTCTGAATGATGTCTTCAGTTAATCGCTTCAGTGGTGTGAAAAGGTCATAAATCACCCAATTACGTCGCCCCGCTTTATGAATAGATATTTTTGGGGGGGAATATTTAAAATGCCTCCAAGGCATATCAACTTAGTCAACCCCATATTTATTGAGAGGGAGTTTGGGGGGGGGGGCTGCTTGTGCCAGAAATAACTGATAAGCAGAATACATTTCAGAGTCTCAGTCACACTGTGGAATGTCACAGTGTTATTTAGAAAGTTGGAGAAGAATTCAAGGTCAGAAGTTATGACTTATGACAGCTTTGACTGGTTTTAAGAATATATTTAGGAATATATAAAAACAGAACGAGAAATCAAAAATAAAGTGGAAAAAATATCTTTCAGTAGGTTGTTTTGCAGAAGATCAATCGTAACAGCACAAAATGTTTCCAAAAGGGCTGAAAGATCTTATCTGTGTTTGATCATACCCATCAAATTGTGTTTTTTTACGTACTTAAAGAGTCAGTTCCTCAAAGAAATATGAATTTCTCACACTTCTTCTATTTAAGAAACTTTTTTTAGCTTAAGATTGATTTCTTCTTCTCTTGGGATAAATACTAGAAAAGAACATCCTGTTAACAATCAGGTAAAACTGCTTTGTTACAAAGAGCATGTAGCTTCTAAAGATGACCTATCTGCCTATCTTTCTACAGGGGTATCCCCCACCTCAGATAGGAGTCACTGCATTGTGTTTGATGCAGGTCATTTTCTTTTGCTTATGCCTCTCACATGTTGACCTTCAGGGCTAAGAGATGAGGGGCTACAGCCTATCCAGAGGAGGATTACGGGAAGATGTGATGCTAGTAGAAAATGTCAACTTAAAGGGAGATAAAACAGAGAAAAAGGCAATGTTAGAAGGTGAGTACTTGCATCAGGGATCACATGTTTGACTGGCTATATGTTTAAGGGATCAGGTTTCTATCTATGCACGTATCTGCATTTTCAAATGTTGGAAGCCAAATGTTATTCCTCTGTGAAACTCAGATTGTTTTCAATGCTGTCTTTAGACAGCCAGATGCTATG